GCTCTCGGCGTCAGATCTTTGCCTCCCATTGGGTTCCCGGTGCTTAGGCTCGTTATCAATCCCGATCCCTGACTTCCGGGCTCCGCCTCCTCCTGGCACTGAGCCTTCGCTTCTCATCCGGTTCCCCGGGCCCATTATCACTCTTAGGCTCGGGACGGTGCTAACTATTGCCTCGGCTCCCGGCGCCGAGTCTTTGCCTCCCGTCTAGTTCCCAACGCCCGGGCTAGTTATCACTTCCGGGCCCACTGTTATACCAGCTCCCGGTGCCGGGTCTTCGCCGCCCGTCTGGTACCCGATGCCCGAGCCCATTATCGCTCCCGATACTCGCATCTCGGGCTCCGTGCTACACCCGACGCCCATGCCCACTATTGCTTGGCTCTCTGCGTCGGGCCTTCGCCTATCGTCTGGTTCTTAATGAATTTTTATTTTGGGCAGAAGAATCGAAGAAGAGAAGAAGTGGAAAAGAGGATGAGGGAAAGCGACAGGAGAGAGATGGGGGTAGAATGGGATGCTTTTAGCGTTAAACACATTATTTTGAAATAACTGGATACCCCTAGTTATTTTCAATAACTTGTTTTTTAGTTATTTCAGAATAACTCATGCTCAAATACCACATTAGGTTTTAGTTATGCCAAACAAGTTATTTGGTACCAAATAACTTATAGCAATAACTAAACCAAACGACCGTTGAGGGTTAATTATTATCATTTAATTACTGTTCTCGACTTAATAAATTTATATTTTTTTTATAATTTTGCTTCATAAATTTTGGCTTTTACGATTAAGTGGTTTTCCAACTTCCCCTTTTCTTATGTTGTTTAATTAATAAATCATTTTATTTTATGTAAGTCAATTGATTATTCAAAGTAATACAATATGATATGATATATTTAATTGCATTTGAATTTTTATTATATGTTAGATATAAGTAAGAACTATTGTTTTGTTGTAATTTTATATGTTATTATTCATATTAAATGTGATATATAATGAATTTGTGTATAAAAATAATATCTTTTCTCATATATCCGGGTTAATCCGGGCTAAGTCGGCCTAAAATGATTGGACCATTAACTCTCAACTCACTTGCTCGATCGGGTCAACGGGCTAAACGGGGTTGACAACCTTGGTCTAAACCATAGTTGTACCACATCTTCGGATGGGTTTGGCGAGAAACTTAAAATATTAAAACAACGGAAGATCTAGGACACCAAGCTCATTACCCATTTTGTCGGGTTCGGAACAACGGCAGATCTAGGACTGGGCCAACTCAGGTCACGGTCCAGCCCTCCTCCCAATTCAGAGCTAGTATAGTGCTTATAAATTTTTTCGATTTTAGGTAGGGGTGAGCATTGGATGGTTGAACCCACAAATCCACCCAAATCCACCCGCGATCGACCCACCCATTATCATATGGATGGTTCCTATGGGTGGGTGTGGGTTGTAAACTAGGTGACCCACAAAAGATTGAATGGGTTCGGTGTACTGTGGTTGACCCACGACCCACCCAACTTGTTAACCTCAAACCATCAGAGCTCTAACATATAGCTTTAGCGAAAATGATGCCCTCAAAATCACAAAAAGTCCTGTCAATTTCGATCAAAGGATTGTGTTGTGAGGTGTGTTATGACAATTGGAGGTACACTTAGGCGAATTGTCTTTCCCCAAATGACACTATCACAAACTACCACCTATTTGTTTTTCATTCATTGATTTCCTTCCATCAATTTGTAATTTTAATTTGCGACTATGGGTTAAAAAGCTATATTTACGCTCACAACGCCTAGGCGAATGAGATGCTAGGCAAGACCAAAATGTTTGCTTTATGCCTAGTGCCTTCTTTAACCTTGGTCTTATCTGGCTTAGACCATATTTATGAATCGAATGTTTTTTTATTTGTGGACAATTACCCATACCAATGTTGTATAATAAATTATTCCTTTGATTTATGGATTAAGAGTTAATAAGTTTGAACATTTCTTTCATTTTAAGTTTAAAAATATTGAAATTATGTGATCATATGGAATATATGTTGTAAACCAACCGAATCCACCCATCATCCGCTATCACCCAACCCAACCCACCCACATGTAATGTTTGGGTGGGTGTGTGTCATGTTCTTCTTCACCCACCACATAGTGGGTGGTTTCAAACCCACCTAAATTTGCATAACTCACCTACTGCTCACCCCTAATTTTAGTTTTAGGTATTCGGCCCAGTGTTATTTAAAAGTCGGTTTAGTGTTATTTGATAATAGAATTTTTTGTATCTAGGAAAACGGTATCGATGAACACATCCAAAACACTACTCTAAATTTAGCGTAAGAATTCTAGTCCGAATGATTTTCATTTGAAAGAACATTAAAATCTAAAAGTCAAAATCGAAAAAGACTAAGTATAAAGTTTCATTGAAATAAAAGAATCCCTACAAATTAAAGTTCATCCTTCCCTGTCAAAACTCAAAAAAATTCCCAATCCCCCCAAACAAAAACAAGACGAGGAGACGATAGAATCCAAAATGGATTCCTCCACCATTCCGTCTTTTGATTAAGAAAATATTTTACAAACTTGTTGAGTCATCATTTAGATTGCTTCAGTTGAGTGGTGCACTATATCCTAAATTCCTAATAGGTTCTTTCGATCTTTTGATGAATAACATATTTACAAACTTTCTCAAGAGTTTAGCTTCGAGGCTTTGAAGGCTATGAGATGCATTCTTTTAAGAATGAAAAGAATGAGCTATGATATTATTGCCGCCGCTCATGTGGTTCCTAGTCGGGAATATGAAGTTTATTCTCTTACACAATTACTAGAGAAGCTAGCAAAACTAGGGATGGACACACAATACAAATTGATTTGTCGGTTGATTCGTCTAGTGTTGACCTTGCCCATTTCAATGGCTACCATGTAGAGAATATTTTCAGCAATGAAACATGTGAAAACTGTCATAAACCAGTTGGTCCCAATAACTCGAGTTGTTGGGAGAAGATTATTATGTATCTTATACCACTCTCTTACACATCCCCTCAAATGAAAGCCAAATCACGGGCTTGAAGTTTGCACAAGCTCACCATACATTATGCTTTTATCAACTGTTAATATTGGGGGTCGTGGAGATTTGAAAACACGACCACTTGGTCAAACCAACTCTAATACCATGTCATAAATTAGTTGGTCCCAAATCCCAATAACTCAAGTTGTTGGGAGAAAGTTATTATGGATCTTATACCACTCTCTTACAAAAACTAGTTTTTGCAACAAAATGAGCGATGAATTTCTCGTTGATTGCTTAGCTATTTTCTTTGAGAGAGAGTACACTCTCGGTATGGATGAAGATTCTATTATCGATGGATTTTCCGAATTAAAAGACCTTCTAGTACAATTGGCATTGTAATGAATAAAAACAATAGTTTTTTTTGTTTATGGTATCCAATATTTAATTCAAATGCGGTCGAGTGTTCTACTATATTCTGGTTCCGCCGCTAGTTAAGAAGAAACTCATCCCAAAATAATGATAATTAAATGTTTGTACCATCTAGCTCGAGGTATGAACAATTATCATTTGTTGGTGTGCGCTTGACTCACGATCCCTTCTTCCGATCTCCGGGTAGGGAAATAACCTGTGGAAAGTCGGGGTTGCGCCCCGGATTAAACTCCGACGATCAAGTCAGTTTATTTTTAGAGTGAGTTGAGAGAATAAGATAGAGAGATACCCCGAGTGGAGCATGAGGGAGGAGAAAAAGGAGTCCCCTCTTTGGAGGGCTTGGAAACTCTTATATAGACATGACAGACACTGGTTGTGTGGAAGGTTGCGCGCGGGTTGGGCGTCATCGCTAGTGATGATGGTAGTGCACCACAATGCTGGTGCACTACCACTTAGTCTCATTTCAGTTTGGGCGTCACTGCTAGCGCGGATGGTAGTGCACCACAATGCTGGTGCACTACCACTTAGTCTCATTTCAGTTTGGGCGTCACTACTAGCGCACCACAATGCTGGTGCGCTACTACTTAGCCTTAGTTTGTGATAGAGTTGGGCGTCACTATGTTGGTGCGATACTACTTAGTCTATGCAATACGAGCTTAGTAAAAACCCCAACAATTGCCCCCAAGTTGGTAATGAGTTTTAACTCATCTCTAGCTTGTTCTTATCGTATTTTTTTTTGTCAAGCACTCTGGATGGGGCCCATGTACCCCTAGTTGCCCCCAACTGGTGGTGCGTCAATATGACGTGATGCTAGTTTTATGCCCTTTGCCCCCCAGGTGGTAGATTTCACTAAAGAGTTGAGCATTCTCTCTTTTGAGATTCTTCAATGACCTTTGCCCCCCAGGTGGTGGATTTCAGTAAGGCGTTGAGCACTCGCTCTTTGGAAATTCTTCAATGCACTATGCGCTCTCTTTTTATATAGTGCGCTTGGGTAGCCGCACGTGTAAAGTGCGTTGGAGTAGCAACACATTATATAGTGTGCTTCAGTAGCCGCACATGTAGAGTGCGCTTGAGTAGCCGCACATTATATAGTGCGCTTGAGTAGCCGCACGTTATGTAGTGCGCTTTGAGTAGCCGCACGTGTTGAGTGAGCTTGTGTAGCTGCACGTTATGTGAATGTAAGTAAATCAATCGCTCCCATATTGCATGTAGAGGTACTTGATCGCTCTTACATTGGAGTTTTATGTAACGTTGCCCAGTCGAGGCTTCGACCGGGATCATATGTCCTGAGTGGTGCTTATAAATCTCTTGATGCATCATGTCCTCATTAGTCATAAAAATCAAATATTTAAAATTAAATAAAATTAAATGTGGTAGAGAAGTTGGATACTTAGCTTTACGGTGTATGCGTGGTTGAATATTGATGGACAGCCCAGGGTCGCGCTTTTTGACTGAGATGCTTTTGCTTAATGGGCGATTCCCTAAAGCTGTTCTCATGTGCGAACTAAGAGTTTGGGCGTAATGAATAAAACCAGGTGCCGATCCATTCGTGCACAAGCAAGCTTTTGGCATATTGGTCAGAGTGTCTGTACATTGAGTACTGGTGCGGGTTCGAATCCCGACGGTAGCATTCTTTTTGAAGAGGTTTGAAGGGCAGCGACTTGGGCTTGAAGAAGCTGGCGGAGATGAAGGCGAAGTGGGTCGCGAGTTGCTTGATGAAAGATCTGCCGCAAGATGGGCAGTAGACGGTAGAGGTTGGCCCTCATTGCAATTATTGGCCTGCGTGTAAGTGGATGGGCGGTGGTGGGCCCAATGAGAGTTTGGTAGATGAACGGTCCGCGGTTGGAGGCGGTCTTTGCGGACAAAGTAATGAGGCGGCCCAATAGGCCTGATCTGGGTGAGGTTATGCGACGTGCGCTTGCTAGTTTCTGGCCGCTGAGGTGGCTTGAAGAGAGGTGAAGCGACGCGAGAGTGTGTTCGACTTCTCCTTCCGCTGAGCTTCTTCTTTTCGCTGCCGATGGAAACGATTGCATCGTTTTTTTGGGTTTAGAGATCGGGTGGAATGCTCAGCAACGAATGACGAAGCAGTAGTGTCCCTTGACTGATGTTTTTCTGATTTTTGCCTTCCTTTCCACGCCTTACCTTCTGCGGTGTTCCAATTGCTCTATGTTTTCCTTTGACGTGCGTTTGATTGCTTTCCGCCGCCAAGGGACAGCGGACCAATCGTAAGCTGGTTGGCGGAGGGGATGAGCGCGGGGAGAGTGAGCAGAGCTTCGAGAAATCATGGAAAAAGAGAGAGAGATTTTCTTACACAGAAGCTGGTAATGCGGCGGCGTGTAAAGAAAGCAAAGGAACGGGAAGCGCGGCTCCGCCCTCAATGAGAGCAGCGGCTGGAGTAGAAGCGGAGAGTGAGGGAGGATAGCACCGCCATAGCTCGCGCACGAGGTCTTGTTGTGCGGAAAGGCAGTAGAGGAGGGTCGATGTAGGCGGTTTCGACGTGAGATGTCTCCAGCCTGTAGTCCACTTGCGCAAAGTTTGCCTCGGAAACTCCGCCTGTCTTCTTTTTCTCACGGAGTGAGCAAGTGGCTCTGAGAAAGCAGTCATGTCAATTGTTCCCTCTTTTTTGACTGTAGGCTCCAGAACTTTGGAGATTGGGAGATAAGGTGATGTTGACGGTGCCGGATTCTTCTTTCTCGCCGGAGCTCCGACACCCTCTTTTTTGTCCTCTTGCTATTAGGAGAAAGAAGAGGCTTCGTAGACCAAGAGTTTGAGGTGCGGTGCTGGAGGGAGAAGGCGATGAGGCAGACGTTGGGAGGGACACGACGGGACGACGGTGAGGACCGTTTGTTGTTGTGTCCAGGATGATGGTGAGAGAGATAGTTCCCTCCCAAAGCCAAAAGTCACTGGAACTTTCCCAGATTTTTTGTCGTATCTCCTGGTGATGCATAAAAGGACATGGGTTAGGATTTTTCCTTTTCGGCAACAAAGGAGTAGATCTGACTCTTTTGGAAGGAATTACTCCGACGGGAGGCGACGATTTGGGTTGGGTCTCTTGCTTCTTGTATCCGAACCTAGAAAAAGAAGATCATAAATTTTTTTCCTAGCACACTCATCGACATTCATCACTCAGTCATAGTTGTTATTGCACCTAATGAGATGAGTGGAATCATTGAATCTGACCTACGGTGGACGCCAATTGTTTGTACCATCTAGCTCGAGGTATGAACAATTATCATTTGTTAGTGTGGGCTTGACTCACGATCCGTTCGTCCGATCTCCGAGGAGGAAAATAACCTGTGGAAAGTCAGGTTTGCCCTCGGATTAAGCTCCGACAATCAAGTCAGTTTATGTTTAGAGTGAGTTGAGAGAATAAGGTAGAGAGAGAAAGTTTAGAGAGATAACCCAAGTGGAGCGTGAGGGAGGAGAAAAGGAGTCCCCTCTTTGGAGGGCTTGGAAACTCTTATATAGACGTGACGACCACTGGTTGTGTGGAAGGTTGAGCGGCGGGTTAGGCGTCACCCTTAGCGCCGATGGTAGTGCACCACAATGCTGGTGCACTACCACTTAGTCTCATTTCAATTTGGGCGTCACTGCTAGCGCGGATTGTAGTGCACCACAATGCTAGTGCACTACCACTTAATCTCATTTCAGTTTGAGTGTCACTGCTAGCGCATCACAATGCTGGTGCACTACTACTTAGTCTCAGTTCGTGTTAGAGTTGGGCGTCACTATGCTGGTGTGCAACTAATTAGTCTATGTAATACGAGCTTAGTAACACCCCAACATTAGATTTTCCGCAACCAAATCGATTCGGTTGGATACCCACCGTTGTCCGGTTGGATCCGGTCCTTAATCCTCATTGTTTAAGGAGGTTCTTAAACCATTTTTATTGGCTGATACTAGATTAGGTAGTTAATGAGGGGTTAGTAGTTAATAGTTAGTTGGAATAAATAAGATATTATGAAAATATAATTAATATTACTCATTAATGATTCTCTTTCTCTCTCCCCCTTGATCTTCTCTATAACCCTCTCTCTCCACTACAATTAAAAGGAAATTCAAAATTCATTTAATTAAATAATATTATTTAATATTTAATAAATTTGAACTTAATATTTTTTTAAAATGAAAATTGAAATTACAAATATATGCTCTCTCACTTCGTGGCAACTTGCAATACAGTATTAACATTTTGCAATGACATTATCAACATTTATGAAATGAATCGTTATTATTATACCTCATCATTATTAACGACTTCAATATACTTATCAATTCCTTACAATTACATTATTAACAATGTTGTATCAATTTTTACTGTTTTATAGTTTCATCATCAACGCCTATGAATGAATCATTAAAGTTATGTGACAAAGTCATTAATAGTTTGAATAACAATATCATTGATTTACAACATCTTTAGTACTAATGATTCACATTTTCACATCATGTTTATAACTATTTAGTCATGGCCTCTTCGAATGATTTCTGATGACATTATTAACGTTTTATGATCAATTAATATTGCTTTACATTATCATTCTCATTGATCATAAAACACAATACTAATTTTTCACATCTTGGGTACTTGTGACATAGTGCACCTGTGTGATTCAGTCAAACAAACATTGTCCAGAAAAATATTAGCTCAAGCGAACCAACATTCACGCCTCAACACCAAACTTTTAATAACAATACAATAAATCATTGATAACGAAAAGTATTTCGTTGAAAATAAACACAAAACATCAATGTAAAAATGTCCGACTTCAACATTATAAATGACATCAAACTTTTAATAAAGATATTAAAAACCATTAATATCGAATGATCAAGTCACTGATAAGGAAATAGATTTTTGTAATATAAAAATATTAATAATATTCAGATGCAATGTTTAATGTCAAATAGCACTAAAAACGCATTAATAAGTAACATGTGTTTAATGGTTAATACATCCAAAAACTTTGATAACGATAGCAACTAATGATTGTTAAGTACCTTATTAGATATTATTAATATCTTATTTTCAAACATTGATAATGCCTATACACGCCTATTAATAATCACACCAAACTACGTTACTAACTTAGACTGAAAGATTAATAACCATAGTTATATCATTAAACGTAAATTCACTTTTGCTAATGTCATAAACAAACGAATATCTAACAAGTATATATGCTTCTTGATAATGACATTTGACAAATTTATAAACATAAACGAAAAAATATTAATAATTCAAATCACTAAACATAAGCAATCTTACAAATGAATTAAATTTTTGCTAATGGTTGTATTGTGCTTGGAAAAAAAATATTGATAATAGCACTTCAAATGATTATAAATCATTGCGAAACCAAATTGATAATACGGTGTAATAGTAAATAAACTTCAAGTACCAATAAATTGAAAACACAATTTCACTTTTACTAATGTTACAAACAAAACATAACATAAAAAGTTAATAATGTCATATAATTTTTTTTTAAAACATGTCAAAACACATTAATAATAACACAAACGAATACCTAATAACGAAAAATCTCAAACCCATGCAATGAAAAGCCCTAATGTTGATTCAATTTATAAATATTGATAATGTCATTACAAAATGTTAATACTTAATACTAATCGGAAGTTGCCAAGATGTGAGAGAGACATATATTTTAAATTTCAAATTTCCATTTTAGAAAAAGAAAATTATTAAATTTGGATTTTATTAAATATTAAATAAAATTATTTCATATTTCTTTTTAATTATAATGTAGAGAGAGGGTTATGGAGAAAATCATGGGAGGAGAGAGAAAGAGAATCATTAATTAATTATGTTTGAGCCTAACTGAGTGTAGGAGTGAGACTCGTGAAAGTGGGGAGAGGAGAGCAAGCAAGGTGAATCTCCAATCTGTTAATGGCTGGAAGTTTAAGAGAGTAGGGATGAGAGAACGAGATTTCTAGTGAGATAAGTGGTTGTATATTAGTGAGAGAATCTAAAAACCGATCCCCTACCTACCGTAGTAAATGCCCCTTTTATAGTACATTACAGCGAGTGGATATTTAATGCGACAAGACCATTACGTGTGTCAGAAGCTTAGGTCATGCTTTAGGCCATAATTAATCCTAGGACTAGGATGTGACCCTTCCTTCGTAGGCTACGGCACTGTTTTCTCGGCTCTCTTTCCTAGTTCGGATTAACCGAAACGACGACGGCTTGGGCAGGACGAAAACGACGCTGGTTTTGGTGAAGCGAAACGACACCGGCTTGGTCTAGACGAAACGGCGCCGCCTGGTGCTTCAGTCATTCGCGGTTGTGTCTTTACTCGCGGGTGGTTCGCTCGGCCATCTTACTCGCGCGACTGGATCCGAGCTATATCCCCAACAATTGCCCCCCATCAGGGGGTATTCTATGAATGCCGCCTGTTATGCTCTGTGCGGCGAGCTTGGTTCCTCACGCCCTACATTCGCTTTCTCCGCGAGTACACCATGCGCGATTAGTCCTTTCGCTGTCTCCACCTTCCTTCTTGCGCTCCTATTAGTCTTGCGCGGCGTAGCTTTTATTTGTTGAGTGTATCTTTTAGATTCCGTGAGTGTGCCATGCGTGACCAATCTTTTCTCGCCGTCTCCGCCTTACTTCTTGCACGGTGTGGCTCTGTTTGTTGGGTGTCTTTTTTTTCCGCGGGTGCACCCTGTGACGTCACCGCCTAGCCCCTAGTTCCTAGCACCTAGCCCTAGTGTCTATAGGTGCTGACGTGGCCCTCCGTCATTCACTCGTTTGGGCGGTTACTTTTTGAATTTCAAAATTTCTGACGTTTCCGGTTCTCGATGCACCTTTAACCCTTCGGTTACCCCTCTATGGGTTATAAATATTCCTCTTTTATCGAAGAAGAGTCATTCTCTTCCACCAATTCTACTTTCCCTTCCATCGTTTTTCTCTGCCGACAAGATTCCTCTTCTTCTCCAACGACCTTATATCTCGAAATTGTTCGTGGTTTCTTCCCAGAGGCACATTGGCCAACACCAATGTGAACAACGAGATCTTGGTCGTACCAGACGAAGAAGGTAATATTTCTCCTTTCTCTCCTGTTTCTTCCGATCCGTCTCTGGATCTGGTCGAGTCCGACAACAATGGCGGCGACGGAGGTGCTCCGGCGATGCCTTCCGATCCGTCTCTGGATCTGGCCGGGATCTGCTTCATGGTTTCTCGGACGCGGGGGAGGTGAATCGTGAGAGTGGTGAGACTAGCACGCCGCGGTCGCGGGGGTGGTAATAATCCGTCGCGATCGCGCGAGCGGGTCTGGTGCTGCTCCTCTTGACGCCGCAGGGACATCGGAAACCTCATCCGAGCCACTCTGCGTGTCTCGTGTGACTGAGGCAATGAGTCGTCTCGGCATGCGCGGGGTGGGGACCGCGTATACAATCTTGGAATGGGAGGAGATGTTTGATGTGGGGCAAGTTCCAAGTGACAATTTGGTACGCGGGCCGGACCATGTGTCAGTGTATGGGCGGCGGGAGGTTTCGGAATTGGTGCGCGGGTTGGGATTGCCCCCCAATTGGCAATACGTCGTTCCATCCACGCGTAGCTGAATTAGGAACTGCCCCCAGGA